CGATCAACAGCCCGATGCCCACCGAGAACTTGATGACCATATTGGTGTCGTTGTCCAACACGTACAGCAAGACTATCACCGACTGGAACACGTTGAAGAACACCGACCGCACCGACAGGCCCTCCAGGGAGCGCCGGTTCTTCCAGAACTGGATGTCTATTAAGAGTTATACCACAAAAGTAGTCATTAATTTCATTGTAATTAAGACAAACTCATTGTTTGTATCGCTTTCTGATGGCTAACCCTATGGTCAGTGCCTATCGCTGATTGCCTACCTATCCATATAGTACACTAAACAGGGTATGCCTACGGCTATAATGCACTAGTTTGAATGGCAGTGTATACTATTCCGGGTGTTTATACGCTATTTACACATACAGTACAGTATTATACGGTTTATGAATAGATAAACAGCGCGTTTAGAACAATCACTCGATTAGTAGTTCATTATAACCAAACAAACACACACAACAAGTCTATCAAAGCCTAGTATGGCCTGTAAGGGGCGCCCACCTAATAGTACACCCTATCATACGGTATAATACAGATAAATATAGCTAAAACTACTGACAGTAAGTCCCGTTAAGGGGTAAAAACAGTCTATAACTGACCAAAAGTACACCTAAAAGGGGGTAAAGTGTTGAAACCGATGGGGAACTACCGTTTTTAAAGGCCAGGAACTCGAACACGCTGTGCGTGATGGACACCAACACCGTCAGGCCTAACAGTATGGGCGACGTCTCGAGGAATGTCTCTTTGAGCAGATCCTGCTCGTCGTCGTCCTGTTCCATGAGGTCGGAGCCCATGAACGACGTCCACCGGGACCTCATGGCCTGCGCGGTGTACAGTTGCCACCGGAACATCGACAGGGGCTGGTATGTCAGGTGCAGATCTATTTTGCTATAGGCATACGTCAGTGGACAGGGAGATAATCGTTAGTAAACATTCATTTGAATAGTTTTTAACGCAATTAGTGTTTAAATCAGTGGACATACTATTGGCTATAATGTACGGCACATGGATGTGATCATGAATTACATTAATCGCTAATATTGTGTATAATTTCGAGTGGTTTTAGTACACTATTGGTTAAGTTAAGTGTAAAAAACTAATAATACATGTATGTGTATATGTATTGTACACTAATGGATGTGATTATTGATTAAATCAATGGCTAATTGTGTGCATAATTAGTACATTATTCCCTAAATCTAAGTGTAAATAATTCAACCGATAAATACTGTACACTATTGGCTGTGAACTTAATATACGGGTAATAATAAAAAGCAATTTGATTACACACTATACACAAGTAGTTTATCAATCATTTAAACACACATTAAAAGTCCGCTTATAGTGAACCCACACATACAGTGAACGCCTGATAATAGGCACACAAAATGGTTAACCCTTTAAAAAACTACATCCCATTGTATAACAAACTCATTGGACATCCAGCGAGTCCATTGACTACACCT